CAATGGGAGGGAAGGGATCCCATGGGCAGTCAGTGGATGAGAGTCATGGATGCTAGACAGCTTGCCAAAATCAGAACAGTCCTACAAATGTGTCATTTATCCAGAATGACTTTTCAACATGAACAGAGGTTAAAAAACAAAACTGTTCAAATTTACCTAAGCCTTAGAACCTATGTTACAAAAATAAACAAAAGGTACTTTTTTGCACACTTTAACATACAATGAATTCTCCAGAGTCATTACCTTACCAACTAAATAAAGACTGTACTTTCCTTTGTTTGGAAATTACTGAGCTGTTCACATTTACAAAAACTCCTACTGCTAAGGCAATCACACTCACCTAGATCAGTCTGTATCTGTAGTTCTTGCCTTCACAGTGCAAGTGACTATTTCATCTGTCCTTTAGTATAGTTGTATGCAAACATTTACATATCAAAATACAAAATACTTTATTACAAATTACATTTATTTATTCTCTATCTTATACTTAGGGTGTTACATTGATTGATTTTTTTTTTCTTTAGCACTATGTATGGGAGGAAGTAGACTGTATTTACCTATAAATTTCATTTCAGGACAGCAAAGGGGCTACTACAAAGTATTTGTTATGAAAAGGAGAAGGGTTGAGATCCAGTGCTCTATACAGTGACTTCAGATTTCTGAAAGAATACTGATTTTTGCTTACCTTGCGCAAAGGAACTTTGAAAGCAATGAAACGAGTTCCAGGCATCCGCTGTCCAACTGGGAGATAGTCTCTCCACCTATTAGATACATTTTGTGTTAACCAAGTTATATGTAAAGCTTTGTCCTCCTGCATAGAATGAAGGCTCCTTGAAAATGGGATTCACAACCCACAAAGCATGTCACTTCTCTCTGCTCTGCGTTCTCTCTCTCCACTTATTTGACCCTACCTAGTAACAACCTAAACTTTACTTCTTGCTGTTTCTCCATTTTGAAAACACATACAAGGCAAAAAAATAGTACAAAGTTCTCTACAAATAAGGTATTATCTAAAACCAGAGATGACTAGAGCTTCTATATCTGTGATAAAACCTAGCCCAGTACCAAATACCAAGTTGCCATTAACATATACACACTGATGGACATAGTTTAAATTTAATTCTTTCACTTTACAGTTTAGTCTTCAAACAACTGATGTCATCAAATTCAATCAGCAGAGCACTTCAAGTTCACATTTTAAGAGAAAACCAGACAGAAGAGGGACTGTGGACTTCACTTAATAAGCAGGAAGTCATGGCGAAAAGTAGTATTTGAGTTGACTTCTGTAGGACGAGTAAGAATGAACTAGGGTTAATTCAGTATATCTGCAGAACAGAAAAGTGAGGGCTAGAGTGGCAAGAGATGGAGTTGGAGATGCAAAGAGAGGATCTCAGACATGCAGAGCTTTATATTACAGGCCCCTAAAATGAGTGGTTTTATTATTTTTTTAAGAAAACTCTTTATACATGATAATGGATGATACACAAGCTTCATTCCCATCTAGAATTTTATCAGACCGTTATTCAATTTAGATATACAACATAAGTTGTAGCAACAATCGTTTTTAAAACCAAGTAATTTTGTGACTGCTTGGGCAATCACTTACTAGTGAACTGCAGTCACAACAGAAACTATCTTTTCAACTACACCAAGGTCTCTGGAGACAATGGTTTCTCTACCCAAGCAGGCTGTAAACATATTTCAAATGGAACTTGGCATCATCCTGAAGGAATTCTGACTTCACGCTGTTGGGAAAGTTTACCAAGATGGCTTCCAAGCAGACTAGCTGTATACAGCACATTTAAAAATAAAAAAGTCTGCATCTTAAACAGACTTTTAAATTTAACTATAAACGGCATGAGGCAAACAAACAAAAAACTTATCTTAAAAACCTTAGTTGGAATGCCACACACTCCACCAAAGAGAAACTGAAATAACCTAGTAAACAATTAGTCATGAATACAATCCTTAAGGTTTATTGTCTAAAACATGTCTCCATGGTAGCAGCAAGGCCCTGCCACAATGTTGCTTGGTTGAGTTCACAAGCCTCTTGACTTAGAGTTTCCCTGTCACTTCCCTGGAAGCTTTGTTTCTTGGTAGTAATTAAAACCTTCTGCCACTAAAGCTACTGCTGCAGCTGGAAACACCCACATCCAGTTTTGTGATGTGGCAAAGTACTGCCTCCACCACCAGAGGGGACAGACTTTCAGCCAACTCCTCCCTTCAGAGGACCAAAAATGTGAGGACTGATTATTATAAATGCCCAAATCACTGCTGCTTCTACCACCTCCAAAGTCATTTCCACTATCATGGCCAAAGTCACCTCTGCCACTCCTGTTGCTACTCCTGTCATAGCTATTATTCTTGCCAAAGCCACTGCCCTGGTTTCCATAACCCTGTCCTCCATTTTAAGAGCCTCTGCTTCCTCCAGAAGCTAACTAGGGCAACTTCCTTCATAACCATCATTATGTCACCTCCACATCCACCACTACCACCGCTGCCACCAAACTACCATAACCACTAGAGCTTCCTCAATGACCAAAGTTGTCACTGCCACCAAAACCAAAGTTTCCAGAACCACTTTGACCATAACAGCTGTATGAAGCACTGGTCATTTCTTGCTTCAACAGGGCTTTCCTTACGTCACAGCTGTGGCCATTCACAGTATGGTATTTCTGAATGACAACCTTATCCACAGTCATGGTCATCAAAGGTCATAATAGAAAAGCCCCTCTTCTTGCCATTGCCTTGGTTGGTCATGATTTCATCACTTCAAGTTTCCCATACTGTTCAAAATAATCGCTTAGGTAATATTCTTCAGTGTCTTCTTTAATGCCACCATAAAGATCTTTTCACAGTTAAGTGGGCACCATGTTTTTGAAAATCTTCTTGAGGTAGTCCTCTTTGGTTCCATAACTTCTCCATCCACCTCGTGTGGCCTTGTATTGATGGCTGTATCTACCTCCTCCATAGTGGATATGTGACACACCCAAAGCCTCTGGAGCACTTGGTGTTTGGATCTCTCATTACCACAAAGTCCATGAGCATTCCCCATTGCTCAGAATGGCTCCTCAGACTCTCATTGGTTGTCTGAAATCTCAACCTTCCAATGAAAAGCTTTCACAGCTATTTGGACTCTTTAGGAGGCTCTACTTAGACATGATGGCAGTGGGAGGAGACTTTAACGATGCTTCCTCCTGGGCATCCACAGGCACAAGAGATGTTTTTTAAAGACATGGCCCAGACCTGGTGGCATGCACTGGTAGACACTGCTACTCGGAAGACTCAGGCCACACGGGAGGCTCAGGTTCAATTCCTGGCACACCCTAAAAGCCCACAAGGTGGCGCGAGCTGTAGTCCCAACTACTTGGTAGGCTGAGGCAGGAGGATTGCGAGCTCAGAGCCAACGTGGACAATATAGCGAGACCCTGTCTGAAAGAGCCAGGCGCCAACTATTTGGGAGGCTGAGGCAGGAGGATCGAGACATAGCGAGACCCTGTCCAAAAAAAAAAGAATGTTTTTGAGCAATGTTTATGAGCAATATTCCAATTACAATTCAATTTCAATTTTTAATAGTTACCTATCAATAAAGATTGCTTAAAAATAAAAAAAGATGTCTTGTGTGAAGAATAGATTGGAAGGAAAAAAAGAGTTGATATATTGACACTGGTTAGGACCCAGCTGCAACAGTTGAGAGGCCTGTATTATGGTGCTAAAGGCCAGTTGTCTGATTCAAAAAATATCAAAAAGATATTCAGGGGAAAAGTCAGAGAAGTAAAAATATATGACTAAAGTCTCAAAATTAATCATTTTTAAAGTGGGGGCCAGCAGGTAGCGTGGTGGTTAAAGTGGGGGCCAGCAGGTGGTGTGGTGGTTAAGGCGCTGGATTCCCACATAGCTGACTGTGGTTCAAGTCCCAGACCCAACGGCTTGAAAATCTAAACAAGAAGATAGAGAAATAATAATTTAAAAAAAAAAAAAGGAAAGAAAAACAAAGTACAGAGGAAGATATCTGAAATGAGACCTGTTAGGAAAAGACAGGCTGCCTTTTGATTCCTGAAAATAATAATGCACACCAACTTTCCAAGGAAGATCTTAGGGTGGTGCCGGTAGGTCCTTTCGTTCAAACTTAAATCGTATTACTCATTTTCTGTGCCAAATTACCATACCTTGAGAAACTGAGGGGTTTCTATTCTGGTAATTAAAGTTTCCCCAACGCTAACCGTGTCGTCTTAAAGCAGTCCTTCAGTCTTTTACTTGAACAGCCATGGCCGAGGCCAAGCTTTTAAAAAGACGGACAGAAATGACAGATCACAATGTCCCCTTCAGCTACTAAGGTGGAGCAGCGAGTAGGTCCAGGCCTCTACGGCAGGAGCGGCCAGAACACGCGCGCGGCGCCCAAAGCGAGAGGCAGAGACCACAAGGGAGGGAGCCCAGGCCCAGAAGCCGCGAGCCGGAAGGGCCTTGCCCAGGGATCATGGCACATTACCTTTCGGGGACGTGGTTTCCGCCCTTCTTCTTCTTGCCTGACGGACGTCCAGAAAAGTCGCGTCCTCGGCCCCGGCCCCGGCCTCTGCAGGCCTGATAGTTCTGGCTCATGTGAGCCCCAAGGTGCTGCCCACCCATAACCAAACGGGTCAAAGCCGCCAGTGTGGCGTCCTCAAGGCCGAAACTAGGACCCAGACCGAAAGCGTACCAGCAGCCACAGCGCAGAGCTCCGAAGCCTCGCTACTGCGCATGTGCTTCCGCCCGTCGTAATGGCGTCACCGTAATGGCGTCACCACGCCGGCTTCCTTGGGCGTTCGGTTTATAAACAGGTCTGTGGCGGCTACAGCGCCCTCTGTCGTCGGCGGCTGGTACCACAGGTCTATGAATTGCATGAGACCTTCATCGTTCGAGTATTACAGTACAGAACAGGGAATGTCCACCGCCCCAGTTCCTGATCTGTCCTTTAGGTTATTTCCAAATGCTCACATTCATATTTTGTATATTAGGGATAAATACTGATTTTAACATATATGTATACTCTATTTTTATACAAATCTGCATACTGAATATATGCTACAATAAATCTTGAATGCTGATTTTCTCAGTCAATTTATATGTGCATATATTCTATTTTTCAAATGACTGTAGGGCATTTCATGCATTATAAGTAACATAATTAAAAGTACTATAATGTATTTAATCAGTCCGATAAATACAGATCTTTAGTTCTTTCCAGGTTTGTGTGTGTGTTCTGTTACAGACAATGCTGCAGTGCTAACATCCTCATACAACTATATCTAAATTCCTACTAGTAGAATCATTAAAATGAAAAATATGTAAACTTGACAGTTTTAAAGATACTAATTATCTCCAAAATTCAAACTACACTCCCATTCACAGTCAAATTTTTATTGGGTTCTTATCATGTGCCAGATACCATGCTAGAGATGGACAACATGTATTTATATTTTAGAAGATACAAAAAAATAACTAAGATTAGAGTGGAGTTCAAGTCCAAGATTTTCACACAGTATTGGATGTAGAATCTGTACTTGTAAGAAAAACTCTGAATTCTGCTACAAATGGAATGGCAAAGGACAGTAGGTCTGAAGACAGAACAGAGTACTAAATTCCAAAGTAAACCATAAATAATTATGACAACAGACTTGTAAATTTTTTTTACAAGTAAAAAAATTTTTACTGTTTAGTTTCTTTTTTTTTTCCTGAGAGATATTTTGTTATAGGGCATGTGTACTTGCCAGAGAGACAGAGAGGCAAAGTGAAAAATCACCCCCCTAGGGGAGATGGCCATGCCACAATCCCTTTCCCTCCATTCTCTTGGGATTTGGGGCATGCACGCACCAGTGCCCCACGTGAGTTTTAAGCCACTGGGTCCAGGACTCGAACTGTGGTTGACTATGTGCGAGTCCAGTGACATAACCAGCCATCTGCTGGCCCATCTTTTCTTTTTAAAAAAAGATAGAAAGCAGGAAAGCGAGAAATCAGCCCCCAGGGCATGGTGGCCACACTTCAACCCCTTCTCTATTCTCTAACAGGGATTTGGGGCACACATGCACATGTGCCACAGTGATTTTCAAGCCACAAGGTACTCCAGCTGAGGTCTGCCATGTGGGAGTTGAGTGCCTTAACCACCAGGCCACCTACTGGCCCCATTATTTAGTTTCTAATTTCGGGAAGAATATTACATACACTATAGTATTCTTAGCAACCATTTTAGAGCTGTGTAAACCAAAGGTCAGAATGGTCAGAGTTATTGGGCTGCCCTGTAGCCTACTGATTAAGGGACCTGGATTCCACATGGTTGACAGAAGTTTGAACTCATGGCCCTGGTAGCTTGAAAAACACTTCAGGCACCAGTGCATCCATGCCCAAAATCCTGACAGGATGAAGAAATGAAGGGGAAGGGATTATTGTATGACCACACCTAGTGTGGGGGTGCTTTCCCCTCTTTCCATCTCTCTCTCAAAAGAGAATATGTGCCCTCTGGCAAAAAAAAAAAAAAGATTATTCTCTTCAGTATATAGAACTCATGGCAGTTTCTGAACTATCAGGTTACATTTTTTAAATTATTTTATTCAGTTTCATTTATTCATTTAATTTTATCAGAGAGACAGAGAGAGAGAAAAAGAGAGAGAAAAGTGAGAAAGCAAGCCACCAGGTCTGGGACTCGAACCATGGTCGACCATGAGGGAGTGTCCAGTGCCCTAACCACCATGTTACTTGCCAGTCCCCATCAGGCTACATTTTTAAAATATTGAATCATCTGTTCGTTAATACAAAATGAGGCCAAATTGTGTTCACTTATTTCTCACTAAGATATAAAAAAACTACATGAATCTCTTCTTTGCCTGTTTACTGTTGTCCGTTAAAGTTTTCTTTGTCTGACTTCTCTCCTCTTCATTTTGTCTGACTTTGTACCCAAGTATGGCAGACAGAGAATGCTAGAGGCCCAGGATTCTACAGTGGCTGTTTGCAAGGGGGCGGAGGCTGCAGTTAACTGCCACACTGGATTCACTTCTGTGAGTAGAGAGAAAAGTATCCTGAATGCCTGTCGCATATAAAGAGCAGGATGCAGAATGCTTACGTGGCCCTAAGAGCCAGAGGCAGCAAATTATGGGTGAAAAACTTCACCCAAAGGCCAAAAGAGAGAAGGTCTGCAGTCAGATGTGTCTTCTACCTCCCTGCTGTTTGCTTCTAATGGGCAGATTTGACGTTCCAAACCATCAGGGCACTGAAAAGACAACCCTTGCTTCTGGAAGTGGACAGGAAGCAACAACTGTGAGCCTAGAAGTGCAAGATCAAGGCTTTCCCCAGAAACGACGCCTAAATTGAAGGGGCAGAAAAGGGAGAGTAGACAAGAGATGCAAGTCAGGTATGGCCCAGCTCAGCCCTGCCTGGTCCAAGGAAGGCAGAATTCAAGAAAAAAACTACTCCAAGAGAAGAGTTGTGGACCACATCATTATGTGTAAGGTCCCCTCAGAGAACTTCGCCTACTCTTCAGCCAAGTTAGGAAGACTTCCTAATCCTTTGCTTTGGTTCTTAAAAGCTACGGTAAATTCACTAATCAGGTCAACTGCAATGGTTTCAGAACAACTCACTGTTCAACCTAAATGTTCCTATCTTTCTCTCTAAGGATATTCATCAACTGTATATGTAGTATATAATTATAAATGTGTATTATATATTGTAATATGACATTTAATAGACAATATATAAATAACTATTAATTCATTACATTAAGGAACGTCTAGAAGAAACATTGAGATCATCTCCCTAACATGAGTGCTGGGGGAAAAGTAGGACCATCATGTTTGTCTTGATTTCACCTGATCAGATCTCAGCCACTTACACGCTATTAGAGATCAACTGATACCCACTTCGCCCAATCTCGTCTTTTTGTTGGGAATCTGATCTCCTCATTGGCTATTTCATACCTTTAAACTAACTACTCTATGACATCATTCTCCCACCAAACCTACCACCTGGTAGAATCTTGAGGTTTCCATGGAGTTGTCTGTAAATAAATTTGGATCATCGCAAGTGACTAGTGACCAGTGACCAGTGACCTTCGTACTGGACACATGCAGTCTTTGGCTTCAGCCACTGAGACATCTTCTAGCATCATTACCTCAACCCTTGGATGTGCGAGTGATGTTTCTTCTGTGACCATGTCAGGTAAGGAAAAATTTTCATTAGACGTTTTCCCTCTAAATTTAGAATCAAAACAGCATGGAATAATGGGGCAAAGTATTAAACTAGAAATCTGAGTATATAATTTCAGTTTGGGCTATGACACTTACTAACTGTGTGATTTTGGATGAGTTATTCACTCGCTCGTGAAATCTGTTTTATCATTTGTCGCATTAGGATGGCAGGTTGGTTATTTTCTCTGTTTTCTTTTCTTTTCTACTATTGAATCTTAAATGAGATGCATGTAAACAATAAAACTTTTAAATCTTAAAGGATATGCACGTAGACAATAAAACTTTAAAGTTTCTAGAAACTTCCTAAAAGAGTGCTTGTTTCAACCGAAGCAGAGAAAAAGATGTAGGTGGTTTAGAAAGCTAGCAATCTATATCAAGATGTTTCATCTGTAACCATCTACCTCTACTAAGTGTCTCAACTTTATGCTCAAATTAGTGCTGTTTATAAAGTCATATTTCCAAGATTTGGAGTTTTCTTTTTTATTTATTTTTATATTTAAAATTTTTAAAAATAATTATCTATTTTAGTTGTATTCATTCATTTATTTTTTAATTTGACCAGAGAGAGACAGAGAGAAAGAAAGAGAGGGAAAGTGAGAAAACAAGCTACCAGGTTCAGGACTCAAACTGTGGTCAGCTATGCAGGAGTGTTCAGTTCCTTCACCACCAT